ATGTAAACTGGTTGTACTGGTATTTGTTGGGTGTGTCTGATTCCTCTCTATATTTGGCTTCTAGATAATGCACAGCGTGTCTATCTATGATTTTGCACTAAGTCATTCTGATCTTTTTCTGAAATAACACCTCTAATTAGAATCTGGGCCATAGGCTATTGAAAAGAAGCTAAAGTCAAAGTGTTCAGAGTACAAGCCTGACGTTAGATACACAGCCATATATAGGCCCTTAAATCAGCTTTGACCTGGTTTTCCAAAGCCTGATCATTGCTCCTTTGAAGGCATTGAGAATCGTGGCCAGCATCTCTGAAAATCAGCTTCAAGCATATTTACATGCTTTAATATGGATCCGAATATCTAATACCATCTGTAACCTAAGCATTTTCACCTCATTTTCTTGTGTAGTTATTCTGAGTTTTCAACAAGATGTAATTTACAGCCTTACCCCTTCAGCAAAAGGCCTTTATCCATTCCAAAGAGGTGATATCTCAATTGCAGATAATCAAGGGACAACAATGGTTAAAACTAGCCACTTCACCACTGTCATTGCCTCAGATTCCAGTAGCTTTGAAACCTATTTTTATATGGGTAGACTTAAACAAGCTGTGTATTTAATAAAATTCTGATGTAGATACAGGAAAATTCATATTAATTTGGAAATATTCTGTGTGCGTGAATCTGCAGTAGTCATTTTTCCCATTTGCTTTTTATACAACTCGAGTTTATCTCCGGTGTTTCGTAATCATAAATGGCTATGCACCATTTAGTTACCCTCCCCATCTCCTGGGTTCATGCACAATTGCCCTAGTGACAGATTGTGCTCGAATGCTCTGGCAGCCTGTGCTACTGATGGCAATGCCCTGAGCCTGGCTTTCTCTGTCTCCCTGGAGTCCCTATGCAGACGTAGGCGAACGTCACTGCCTGCTCTAAATTTATCCACGCTTGATGGAGGAGACTAGCTGAGCAGCAGGGAGGCAGCTATTTTGGTTTTCTCTGTGGTTCTGGGTTATATAAAGCATCTAGCCATGACCCACATTGCTTTGGAGCTGCCTTGTTTCCTCTCTGGTTCTAATGCAGCTAATCAGCACCATATATTTCCACACAATTTTTCTCGCAAATGCTGAGCAGTACTCTGTGCGTGTGTGGCACTTGAGTGCTATATGCGTATGACTTGGCTGATGCCACTCTTTTTTGAAAAGCAAGGAAGCTTTATTTTTAAAACAAAATACCCCCATACAGATGGAATCCTTGTCCCAGCTATTTATTGGGCACAATTTGTGTGGTGAATTACCAGCTGCCCATCCTGTGCTTTGGAAAAGGTAAGCTAACACATGCAATAAAATACCAGTTAACAGTAATCGAAACAGAGAGTATTTTTGCCATTTAATTCTCAGTTAATGTTTAAAAACACCACACAAAGATAGGTGTCACAAGATCAGACTCTCCAAAGTCTCAGTCTCCTTGGTTAGGCTTAAAGGTACATTGCCACTATCAAATTCTTTCAGCTAGCTGATTATGGAAATAAGGAAGGTATATCGGGAAATGGGTTTACCTGAGCCAGTGTGTAACTATCAGGAGATTTAATACACAGCTAATTACTACAACTAGTTCCCTGCTTGGACTGCTGTATTTTTTACTCACTTTGGGAAACCAGGGCCCTCTCCATAGCATGGAGTTGCTATAGAGAGCATCAAAAGAACACATGAATTGTAGGATCAGACCAAATGTGTCCATGCAAAATCTCTAAGCTTTTCCAAGGAGGCAGGGCAACAAATTTAACAGCATGCACAGTAAAACAGTCCTCACTTCCAAGTGAAACCCCAGATAACATTTTAAATACAGAGAATGCACACATAGCTTTTTCACATCAGCTCAAATGGAAAGATCTTACTACAGTTGCTTCCAATGAAACTCAGATTTTAGCTTTTGTGTCTATCTGGAAGAAGGGGAACACCAGTTACAAGCCATCATAAAACAAATATATCACATTCACCAAAATGATTTCCAGGGCTTCAAAATAGCCTTTGCTTAAGGAAAAAAATACCCCCATTAACCAATAGTTACAGTATGTTTTTGTTATAAAAATAGAAATGAATGAGACATATGCTTTACATGTGAATTGCAAATGTTATGTGTATTTATGAGCTTTGCTCCTGTCACATAACTCCCTGGGCCTAGGGGCTTCTTGGATTTCATCTCTGGCAAAGATCAGTCTTGTCCCAATTACAGTTCCAGTAATTTCCCTGGCAGAGCTTATATTCCCTCATGAGATATTTAAGAGTACATATGATAATTCAATACCATTTGGGTGTTTTTAAAGGGGCAGCTACCGGAATATCACTTTCTCTGTTCATACTATGGTAAATTGGTAGAAGGGCAATTTGTTATTGCCAAGCTCCTAGAATAAACAGAAAACCCTCATATCTGCTTATATGCTCACAAAATAAAACAATTGTATCCCAATCTGCCAGCAGTTGGTGGGAAATGACCAGAGAATCAAGCTGTTTTCAGGTTAAGAAAGCTGGATCATTACCTTAAGTGGCAAAATAGTGAGTTGCGCTGTAAAAAATAAAAATAATTTCTGGACAGAACACAAAACTGCACAGGACGATGTGCAGAATTTTTAAAATGCCTTCTGTATATAAACAAATACAGCTCATGCCAGCACTTTTCATTACATGTATTGGCTATGTAAACAAACAAACAAAAACCCCACAAAACTAGATATGCAATAAAAGAAAGAAAAACAAGGACAAGGATTAAAGATTAGGCAAAAATAATCACTGATTATAATCAATGGGAACAGAACGTGAAGAAAGACAAGGCTATGTCCCAGACTGCCAGTGCCAGAGGCTATTTATCAAGGTTCTAACATGTTCCTACATATTCAGTAAACTGCCTGGCCAGGTATCCTCTCTATTTTATGTTTGTGCATTGCGTGGTTCTTTAACGGGTGTGACTTTTCCAATTGTCAGTGTTGAATTTAATTTTCTTAGTGCCATAGTACTCCAGTTTGATTAAATCATTTTTCTTTCATTTACTCCAATATTGAAAATGTCTGTAGTTCTTCTCCAATTTAGATCATCTGCTAATCTGACATGTATACTAGGCATTGAAACCTTTCGTTTAATGATGGACATATCACATGTTGAACACCACCACATACTTGTCAATCTACATTTATGATGTTTCTCCACTGTGATATCAATCTGCTAATAATCAAGTAAAGGACTGAATGTGTATAGCCGGGCTATTGTTCTTCTTATTATTATCAGCATAGCATAATATGGCTCCTTATGCCATGCCACAACATACCATTCATTTCTTACATCCCCAAGATAGTTGTGTGCAGTGGGAGAAGGGGTGCACAGTGATTGACCATCAATCTGACACAATTAAATTAAATTAAAAGAGTACAATTTTTAAACCCTTCTAGAAGAAACAGCTATATAGACCACTTTCATCAAGGCTTTCTTTTACAATGTGGAACAAAAGTAATATTCATAAATGTTCTTTTTCTGGTTAACCTCTGTAAAATTCTGAAATGCTATTTGCTAGAGCATCAAAACATGCCACTTACTAAACTTCCACATGCATAAAAATGGGAGTGCATGAATGGAAAGTGGTTGATACCTAAACTGGATGTAATTATTTCACAAAAGGGAGCTTGTTCGCAAGGGCCATCATATAATGCTACTGAATAATGTGATTATTAAACACTGACTGCTACCCTCAAACCATCTAATTAAGGTATGTTTTACTAAAGTATGTGGTGCTTCTGAGGAAGAGATAGTCTGCAAGTGGCAGCCACCATATCTATAAATAAGAAAGAAAGGGAATGCATATCTTTAAAACCACAAGGTAATACAGAATGCATTTTACAGAGTATCAGAGCCATATGATAATATTCATCCAGAAAACCAATTATCTCAAGAGAGCAAAAGAAATGAAGAATCACAACAATGAACAAAAAATAAAACCTATAAAATCTACATACAGGTGGGAAAGAAGGAAACACAACACAGCACATCAACACAGCAGTTATCTCTAAAGTAAACATGCAAAACGAATGGTGGCTTGTTAGTTCAATCTATAGTTAAACCTTATTTCTTACACTCATCACTGACTGGGGAAAAATCAATTGCAGATGTGACTTAAAGAGAAAAATCAATGGATCAAAATACATTTTTAAAAATTGTCAGGACCAACCCAAGACATTTTGCCGCCTGAAGCAAAGGAAAAGATGGTGCCTCCTCCCTTCCCCCTCCACATACAGAAGCCAATGGAGACCAGCAGTTCAATCATACAGTGGTACCTCGGGTTACATACGCTTCAGGTTACAGACTCCGCTAACCCAGAAATAGTGCTTCAGGTTAAGAACTTTGCTTCAGGATAAGAACAGAAATCATGCTCCCGCGGTGCGGGGGCAGCAGGAGGCCCCATTAGCTAAAGTGGTGCTGCAGGTTAAGAGCAGTTTCAGGTTAAGAACGAACCTCCAGAACGAATTAAGTACTTAACCCGAGGTACCACTGTACTTCAGCACTAGCAATAGGACAGCATCCTCCACAGCACCAAAGGACAACAGGTTAGGTTAAAGGGAAATGGAGAGCCTACAGTGGTGCCCCGCAAGACGAATGCCTCGTAAGACGAAAAACTCGCTAGACGAAAGGGTTTTGCGTTTTTTGAGCTGCTTCGCAAGATGAATTTCCCTATGGGCTTGCTTCACAAGACGAAAACGTCTTGCAAGTTTGTTTCCTTTTTTGTAAAACCGTTAATACCCGGGGTGCATTGCTTGAAGAGGTGCAGTTGCGACTTGACTTCGAGGAGCAACTCATAGCACGCGGTGTGGTAGCCTTTTTTGAGGTTTTTGAAGACTTTGCTGATTTTTGAAGCTTTTCCAAAACTTCTTTGCAGCCATTTGGTAAGTTAAACTTTTAAAACTTTTTGGGGGTTTTTGGTTTTTGGGTTGGGGTGTTTGGAATTCAAGGACTTGGTGTTGGGGAGGGGTTTGCAAGAATCTGGGAGCTTGTGTGGGTTTTTTTTTTGAATTTTTATGATTTTCTGTGACCATTGGGCCACTCTGCTGTTTTTTTTAAAAAAAATTCTGGGTTTGAATTTCTGTGTGGTGGGTGGCTGGGGGAACAGTTGAGGAGGGGTTTGCAAGAATCTGGGAGCTTGTGTGGGGTTTTTTTGGAATTTTTATGATTTTCTGTGACCATTGGGCCATGTTGTTGTTTTTTTTAAAAAAAGTTTTTCTGTCATGTTTAGAAACTTAATTTATTGTTCCTTCAGTTTTTGAAATGCTCTTTACAGTATGTGTGACTTTAAAGAGCACTTAATAAACTCTTGTTGTACCAAATTTGGCTTTGTTTGGACTTTTTTTGACCATAGGAACGCATTAATTGAATTTCAATGCATTCCTATGGGATTTCGTGCTTCGCAAGATGAAAAATTAGCTAGACGAAAAAACTCGCGGAACGAATTAATTTCGTCTTGCGAGGCACCACTGTATCTTCCTTTGCTGCTCCCTGCCCTTGAACACCTTCTGCCTAAGACAGCCTCCTCACTTTGTCTAATGGTAGGGCCAGCATGGCTACCTTTGATTTTTCCAAGTCCACATACCATCTCTGAAAGCCTAGGTACATCATGAGTTCATTGCTGTAAGATCAATTGTATCATACACCAAATGAGAAATATTTATTTTTACCACCATTGGTTGTTTCTACCTGACTGAACCAGCAAAACGCCAGATATTTAGCAAGTCTGGGAAAAGATTAGGAATTACGCAAGGAGATAATAGTGATGTCATATGAGTAATTCACTGTCTGCTCCAGTACATGCTTAAATCCACTGATGAACAAGATTAACAAACTAGATGACTGGGGATGTTGGACAATATACAGCATACTGCATAAATAAGTGACTGTCACATATTTGCCTTATGGGAACCCTCTGTGAGAAGAGATTTAAAGTCTGAAAACAAACACATGAAACTCTAGGAGCTTGGAATTTCATATGGAGCTAGGGTTAGCTAATAAACACTATAGCTAATAATCTGTAATCTAGAACAGAACAAAAACACGTAAGAGAAGACATTTGACTGGAAACAAATCAGCCTGGCCTACTTTCATGACTTTAGCAAAAATTTATAGACATTGCCTGGTAAAGTTTTTAACAGCATTGACCTAAGTGTTACCACCTGTTAATATCTGCAGATTAAAAGCACAACAGCAGGGAGCAGTAATAAAAAGAAAAGTGACACCTCAGTAGGGAGAGATGAATGGGTTCTACCCAGTGAGAAACGATGAGTAGAAGTTGGTGGGATAGTATATGATATCATACTACATTAGGATAAGAGACGAGATTTTACCCAGCTGTCTGTATTCTGCTAATGGCTTTTGTTTTTAAGTATTGCTACCTTCCCAAAAACTTTAGGATAGGGCAAGCTGTGGGTCCAAAGAAATAAACTGGCCATAATGTGTTTAGGTGCATATCTAATATTTTGGAACATTTAATAGGCAATCCTTTTTCTAAGGCTGGATACTTCTCTAATTCTGCTCAGAATGCACAATTGTGTACCTGTACTTCTGGATTTAAACTATACCCAGAATACAGTCCCTAAAATATTTCTGGTAACCTTCTTCAAAAAGGATGGAAGTGATAGCTGAGAGAAATATTTATTTATTTATTAAGGAGCATTTGCATTGCCAATGGAGGAAAGAGAACTGCAGAGTAAGGTAACAAGCCCAGGCTTGTCCAGAATAAGATAGGACAATCAATCAGTAATTTCTACCCTTTGCATAAGAGAGGGACTAATGTCAGATGTTCAGACCCGCATTCGATTAAAAGTGCAGCCTGATCCTACCCATGTTTGCTTAGAAGTACGTACAATGGAGTTCAGCAGAGTTCACACACACCCCAAGCTAGTGTTCAAGATTGTATTTCCCTATGTCAACAATCACTTCCTCTTTTTTACAGTGATTCTGAAATCACTATTTCAGAATTGCTGCCTAACCTTCTACGTCACTCTCCTGAGGACATGCATCTTACAGACTATAGTTTTGTAACATATTCATTATGATGAAAGGGAGTTCATAGATTGCCGTGAGAAATTGCTGTTAATTCCCACCCCACCCCAGGTTCAGGGTGAGGGAATCCCCATATGTAAGTACTATACTACTTATTAGCAGATAGGTGTGGTGCAAGAACAAGTCTGAACTGACCCTGCAGTCTTTTAGCAGGCAGAGGATATAGAGATAAAGAAAAACTTAAAGCAACAATTACAACTGCAATCTGAGAGAATGCAGTGGCATTTGACAGTTCAAGCAGGCATATGGTGCAGAGAATTACCAAAACTGGGCCAGTGCCCAGATGCCTGTACTTCAAAACCGATGTTATCTCCCTTCCCAACAGACAGTATTCAGTCACTAGTTTATCAATTGTCATAAATGTCTAAGTATATTTACAACAGCATTTGGAAACGCCATCCTAGTATTCCTGGGAATTACTTGTAGGTGGGTCTTCCGTAATCAGACCAGTAAATTTAACTCTAATTCAAATATCATCATGAGTCAGCCCTTTAAAATCCAAAGTTCTGAGTTAAAAAGGAATGATATTGTAGAAATAATGAATATACACTCATATTATTTGCCACCTGCTATATAATCTTTTTTCCAAGGTCTATTTCTGAAGCATTTATCCACACTCATGAGGGCTAGAAGCTTATTTGAAGCAAATCTCGGATTTCAAGATTATCATCAACTGTAAGGACTGGAGTGCTGAAGCTAACACAATTATTGTGGAGTTTACAGATATAATCATAGTAAATAAAAATGTTCACTGGGATTTTAACTACTGTGCTCTGCAGTGTTGATTAGACAAAGGCCATTAGAAAACCAAAACATTATACAAACCAAGAGGGTGACGTGATAATTTTTCATAGGTCCAGCTTTGACTGTTTGGTATTTCTTAAACAGGCAGGCAGCAGAACTGACGGGTAGATATATCTCAGCTATATAAATATGGCAAAGTAACAAAGAGCGCTTTGTTACAAATAATAATTTAATACTGCTTTTTAATTGTGCTGAATATGTCAATAGACACACCATACTGGCTGCTGCCATTGAAACATGCTCAGAAATTGGCTGCTTTAACCTCTTACTCTCTATTGCTGAATTGCTGATTGCTGAAACTGAGTTTGTAATTTATAGAATAATACATTGACTCTGAACCATTGATTTAACCAGGAATTTTCAGCAGGGTGTGTGTAAAATAGGTATGTATGCTCCAAGGCCATATAGTGAGTAAATTTTAAAGCAATTCTTGAGTCTGTTAAAAACAAAACTACCTTGGCTCATGGATTTGCCATACCACAATTCCAAAGCAGCCGTGTGAGAATATAGAATATAAAACACTTGGACGGTGTCTCTCCCCCATACCCAGACCCAGTATTCTTTGATAACACTTTAAACTGCTGGTTCAGTTCAGAACTAAGCTGAGATGAACTGACCGATGGCTATGTATTCAAGCAAAGCAATGCAGATGTTAACATTTGTATACATCCTCTTCATACACATAGACTAAATATATTAAATGGAATATAACAGAAATATCAGATAAGCTGCCATTGCAGTGAGATATTGCTGGACTCCAGCTCCCATCACACCTGACCGCTGGATATCCACCAACATCTGAAACTAAACAACATTTGAAAAATAATAATAATCAACATGACTACTAATTATTTTGTCAGTTGGGACAAATGCTCAAGCCGGCTTTATTTCTCTCTTATTTTTATAGATACGATTTGCTTTATCTTTTTATTAAAGGGGGGATGCAGGGATCACGGCTTGCGTTACGTAAGAAAGAGCAGAAAAGGCTTGAGTCGAGTGCCGCGGGGGTTGTTGTTGATCGGTGCGTCAGACTTGGGTTTCCCTTTTGGTGCGTGTGCTGCAGACAGCGCGAGTGCGCTTCCTCACGTTTCGCCGCTTGAGGCAGACACGACAGGATCCGCCCCCTGTCCGTCCCCACAACGAACGTTTGCCGGGATCGACCTCTGGTCCAGATCTCCGAATATTGTGAGGCGGACATCATTCGCACACGTTGTATTGTTTTTAACACTCGATTGGGAGCCGCCCAGAGTGGCTGGGGAAACTCAGCTAGATGAGCGGGGTATAAATAATAAATTATTCTTAATTATTATAAGAGGGAATCCCGGTTTCAACCCCCACCAGTCGCTCCCGGAGCGTCACTTCGAGACACCAAAGCCCCCGGGATCTCAGAAATCAAAACAAACCAGCTTCCCTCTCGGTCTCTCGCTGTGGGGCCGCCGGCACCTCGCCGCCCTCAGTCCTCGCTTTCTAATTACAGCTCCACCCCAAAACAAAACAGACCTTCCCGCTGCCATGGCAACCGAGCCCTACCTTCCCTGCTGCTTTGGCGACGGAGCCCCACCTCCCTGAGCTGCTATGACAACCGGGAGCCTCCTCCTCCTCCTCCCCTCAGCGGGTGACGCCGCCGCCTGCGTGGCTAACGATTTCTGAAGGGGAAGGGAGAAAGAGCGATGACGTTGCGGGGCTCGTTTCCGTGGTTACTACGCGCTGACGTCGGTGTGTTTTGTGAGCGCCCAACGTTCTTGCCGTCGCCAGAGCAACGTCAGTTAGCCAGCCAAAGCTCGGCAACAGGGACGGGATTGGCCGGTGCGCAGGAGAGGAGCTCTGGGATTGGCGGGGCGCTTTGCTTAGGCCTGAACAGGTGGGCCTACCTGGCCCTGAACCTGCAACGGGGGTCAGACGGGGACGGGAGGAGGAGGAGGATGGAAGCGTTCGCACGGAGTCTCTGGACTGTTGGGGGAAAGCTGTTTACATACGGGGAGAAACAGACCTCATTTGCCTCTTGAGGTTGTGTGTATCGTTCTGGTACCATGCACACGTGTTTATGCACTATCAAGTATTGCATACCTTTAGGATTCCTCAAACATCTACGACTTCTCTATGGGATATCAGTTTTATTCTCCCCCCCCCCAAAAAACCCCCAGTTTTGGTCATTAATTTTTATCAGTGCCATAAAATGTGGAACACATGTATAACTTTGCCTCTTGTACAACACCTGTGTGTTGAGGCATTATGGATCCTTAAGAATTAGCACCAAACCTGCAACTAGATTGTCATGTCTGATGATTTTGTATGATAGATTATTGCTACATCAATTGTTGTTTCCAACCGTGTGTGTGTATACTGTGAACAAGGAAGTGGGTAACATCCTCAGATGTAGCAAGCTACATGTGGGTTTCATGCTAACTGTCTGTGGGGGAATGGGGCATTTCTTTTAATATGGTAACATCTATACATTACGTTTAACATATTTTGTTTATGTGTCTGAAGAGGATGTATACACGTGAACATCTGCATCACCTATTTGTGTACATGTTTATGGCTGGCTACACGCCTGAAAGTCTTGCATGACATTCTGTGTGTATCTGTATTTATTCCTCAACACATATGCAGTTTAAAATATTGCTTGAGTAGCCATTCATTTTAATTATTGTTCTGTATTGGTTTTGAATGTTTTTATGTTATTGTACACCACCTTGAGGTTTTGCAAGAGGGCTGTATATAAATACTTTTGTAAATCAATAATAAACAAACATGTGCATTAATGTGTATTCCAAGGAGGAGATCATTTTGTGCTCTTAACTTGACCATATCTTTTTCATGCTGAACCCTTGCTGTGTTTCTCCTCACTCATTCCCACCTACCTGTGCTGCCCAGTGCTTCCCTGCACTTTTAAGGAGCAGCTGTACATTGTTATTTCCTCTGTCCAATAACACTAATAATTTTGAACTATGACAGGTACTATAGGTAAACAATACTTTATCCCAGTAGCACAAATGCCGCTTTCAAAGGGTAGGTCAGTTTTATTGCATGTCTGGTTCCTTGCTGCTGTGCGGGTGGAGCACCATTCGTGGGTAGCATATCTGCTTCCTGCTTGGCCCAGGGATGGGCACTTACCTGTATTTGATTGACGATCTTTCCAGACAAATAAATATTACTCAGGTGTTATGCAAGATCGAGACAGGTTTTCTTCAAGTGGCACTTCCGTTGCTGGCTCATTACTCTCCATTTGTGAATTTAGCACACGTGCAGATGCCATGCAGAAATTAGCTACACTTTTGGCTTGTGTATCTTGTAATATGTCTTTGATAGTGTTATCTATGAAAGTGCAATACCATATCCAACTTTAATAAATATTATTACGTTTCTGAGGATACAAACATGGCACCATTCTGTCTCTTTTTTTGATTCCCCCATTGCTCATACTTCCAAAACCTGACCTCTAGAGAGGGACCTCAGACATGGTACTACTTAGAAATAATCCTACAGTTCACTTGTTCTTCTAAAGACACAGGATTTATAGGCATATAAGAAGCTGTAGCCACAAGTTATGCATCATCGTTATGATAGCACATTTTCAAAGCTTAGCAGGGTCTGCTATGGTTTCAAGTTGGAAGGGAAACCACATGTTGAGATTCCTGCATTGCAGGGGATTGGACTAGCTGTCCCTCAGAGTCCCTTCCAACTCTGTAATGCTGTGATTTTATAAGAAGACATTTGAATGTATTGTTAGAGACGTTATGCCTCTGAATACCAACTGGTGGGAATTGCAGGTGGGCAGAATGCTGTTGTACTCATTTCCAGCATGTAGGCTTTCTCCAGGCATCTGATCAGGAGCAAACTGGGCAGGCCATTGGCCTGATCCAGCAGGTTCATCCTACATTCTTACAGCAAAGTATATACAGATCCACACCATAGGTTGAACTCAGCTGCAGGCTGCATTTGGGGACATGAGATTTCATAATGAAGGATAACACTGCTTCCTAGTGAAACAAAACCAGTTTCTATAAGGTTAGCCATGTTAATCTGTTACGGCAAAACCAACAAACCATCTTTGGGCACCTTAAAGACTAACTAGGTTTTTTACGGCACATGTTTTCATAGACTGGAGTCAATGAAAGATCATGCAACAACAAAACTGGCTAGTCTTTAAGGTGCCAGAAGACTCTTCTTCGTTTTGTTTTTTGTTTTTTTAGTAGAATGGCTTACAGCAGTATTTCTGTGCTTGAACACCCATCTCATGACGTTAGAAAAGAAAAAGTGATGAAACACTGAGGACACACCCTTAAGTACAGAGAGAAGAACCCCTTTGTAATATTATTATGCTGGTGGGGAAGGCTATCAAGTTTCTGACACACATTTGTCTTTCCCAACTTGTGAGGGTCACTGTACTGGACCTGTTTGGAAAGGCACTCAAAGTGAAGAAAACCTGCTCAAGGAGCCTGAAAAGCTGTTGGCATAAAACAGGCATGTGACAGGCAATTATGATTCTTTGTCTTGCTGCTGCAAAGGAAATCAGAAATGGACAACTGGCTGGGGAGAAAAGATAACTGTAAACTTTTCAATACCCATTTCTGCTAAAAATTGCTCCTCTTCCCACCACCTTTTATTGCCATGGGGAAAGGATACAGTATTCCCATACAAAAAAACAAAACAGGTAAGACTGCAAGTAGTACAGTAGACTGGTGTTGCCATCACTGGGTTAGATGCCAGTCTAGGAGGTTAAGTGGTACAGCAGGTTTAACTTGTCTCATTACACACCTGGAAGTTTTTGAAGATCTGTGCAAGCTTTCCCTGAAAGTTAATCTCCGGGAACACCCAGCACGTGAAATAGCTACTCCCTTCTCAAAAGGCGTGCATTGTCAGTAAACCTGTGGACAAACGCCGGCTCCCTTGGCCTGAAACAAGATGAGTGACGCAACCCTATAGTTGCCTTTGACTGGACTTAACCGTCCAGGGGTCTTTTACCTTTTTTTACCTTTACCTACACATTAAATAGCTCTAAAGTTTCCTTAAGACAGGAGTAGCCATCACTTCAAATGTGAATGCTGAAGCCAGAACAAGCAGAAATAAACAAATGTTGATTTGCTTCTGAACTGATAGAATTCTCCCTATCTTACTCACTGCAGTAACCTTGCTAATGTGTCTGTTTGAAGTAACCGCAGAACGTCAAGGTCCATACATTAGGTGGTTTTAGTGAGCAGACAAGAATGTGGGTCTCGATATAGCCCACAACTTTTGTTCCTAGAGCCTTTGCAAAGGCAAGTTGGGGCAGTTCAAGATGACTGACTGACAAATTTCATTTTGCCCCTTAGAAGGCAGATCCTCTATAGTAGATGCAGCTAGGTAATTACATCATGCTGCTTTTTGCTTGGTAGCCCAGGCAAATAAAAGTATTTTCAAATGGCATCTGAAACCCAACAATGCAGGAAGCAGACACACCTTTGAGGGGACAACCATGGAGATGAACCTTCTATGCATCCTCTCACCCTGAATCCTGAGGGGGGGGGGCAGGGGGAACTATGAACATGTTGGTATTCTAATTGATTGTAGGGTGGGGTGCATTTGCTGTTCTGTCTCAGACAACAAAATGTCTTGACCAGGCTCTGTTGCTTGTAATATCCCAAATAACCCCGAGTATAATGTTAACTTGTCAAATATGAGACTTCTGTTGCTTTGAAAATACATTGACTAACTTACTAATTTAGCTATCCCATGCAAGGCTACTGTATTGAATGAGACTTCTTCTCAGTGTGGTAGATGGAAACAGTCTTCAGAGCTTCCAGTGTCCCATAGGACAGCTGAATGGAACAATGTATCTATGACTTCCTTTCTGGGCAAACGGATGTTCCTGGAAGTACAGTACAGTATGTTGTGCATGAACTCATGTCTGGCACTCAAACATTAGTTCTCTTATAGTGAAGCAAAGCGGATGGTATTTCATCTTTCCAAGACTGTAGAGCAGGGACTGGGAATCCATGGCCCTCCAGATGTTTTTTAGACTACAACTCCCACCACCTCAGACCATTGTCCATGCTTACTGGGGCTGATGGGAGTTGGAGCCCAACAATGTCTGGTCTGGAGGGCCACAGTTCTCCCAAACTCTACTGAAGAGGGCTGAAGACAGTTTGCATCTAGTTGTTTTAAGTTGTGTTCTGTGTCAGCAAACAGCTCTTCCAATTCTGAAGAAGAATAATTATTTCTGGATGTGGCAAAATAAAAGAACCATTTCTGAAACAGAAGAAACAGAGACATCTGAATTGAGGACTATGACGTATATTTTGCCGGAAATACAGACACCAAAGAACTAAGAGACTGTGCTTGATAGCATGTCATAATGCATTTTTATCGTTAAATATTAGCTTTAGATAAATAACAGCAGCCCTCAGCATCAAATCTACAGGAAATGTTAACAGCAGCTAATCCTTATCTTAACAGTCACAATTTTTAAGTTGACTATTTATGGCAGGAAAGAATAAAGCAAGCAATAGCTCAGCAAACGTATCAAAGCTGCACAGGTAGTTTAAACTGGTTATTGGTTATTGGTAAGGTGCTTCATCTTAATTTTTGAACTGCTAAATATTTTCATAAGTCAATTCAGTGCTGTGATTAAAATAACCTGGGAATAAGAGGTCTTATGTAAAGTAAGATAAATTTCGTTTTTGGATAGCTGTGACCAAGCTGACATCGGATTTGGATGCGACTTCTTTGATATTAGACTGGATCCACTTAGAACCGTCTTCTAAGTCTGATATAATATTAGTACCATTACATCTAACTTCTTGATTGGAAGGTGAGGAATGACACATGGATTTGCAAA